ACTGAATAGTATTTCAGAGGACACGGGACTAGGTACGTTCCACAAGGTCTCTCTGACGCTCCGACCATGTTGCCAAAACAAGGTCCAACCGACACTAAAAAGATAAAGGAGACTGCGACCACACCATCTACGATCGAAGAAGAAGGTTGCATGAACATTTCTTGTCAAGCGACCATTTGCAGAGTCTCAGGGTGCGCCTGACTCGAGCTATTTCCTACAGGAGACGAGTGAATGCCCATTCGACTCTGAACAGATGAACAAATGATTGCAAAATCAAGTTACTCTTGCCAACCGACTGGGTTTCTGCTTGGTCTTCTCGGCTGACGTGAAGAGTGTAGGGGAAACATGCACTTGCACTTGCACTTCCACCGAGGCAGGCATCTCCGCAGACTCGTCAAGCTAGTCAAATAGTCGGACAGCAGATGCCCTGGCAACAGATGGGTCGTCGCGACCGGGCCGACGAAAGCCGACGGCAGTTTGGGAGGCTTGAGGTGAGCTGGTGGTTCTGGTCGCCTAACCGTTCGAAGATCCCCAGATGTCAGACACATTTCAGTCGCCGCCTCCAGACAAGGCATACAGATGGTCTGTCGATGAGTCGACAGGGCCGCAGTATGCAGGGGAGGGTAGTCAAGGGGACAGCGGGGTTTCAGTCCATTGCAGACATGTCTGATTGGCCCATCGGCCGGCCGATGCATTTGATTGATATACTGACTCGCCAAGTGATCAGCAGACGAATGGGCAAGCATGTGAAGTGGTCGAGATGTGGCGAGTTATAAATAGACACACGAAGATGTGCCCATTACCGGCGTGGTGTGGACTCTTTCCTCCACTTATCAGAGCTGGCATGAAAGTGCATATGTTTAGTGGTAAATAGAGGAGGAAAAATAATTAAAAAATTGAAAATTTTAGCATATCTCCCATGAGTGACCTTTATGGGCCGACTTGTTCGTCTGTGAGGATAAGATCGTCGTTACGACCGAATGTCTGTCGGCACAACAACCGGGCTCATTCACAGCTGGCCAGACGAAGAAGGGTAGACCGTGTGTTTTGTTTATCAGTCATGGAAGTAGTGCTGTCAAACGACGCGTTATTGTGGCCCTGCCTTAAGAGCCGGTACCACAGCCTCCGAGTCATTTGATCTGGTCGTCGGGATCGGGGGTGGGGAAGGGTGTGATGTAATCTGTTTTAGCTCCCCGAAGGAATATGGGCCGGCCAGACTTGTGCAAACACCGGCACCGCAGGACGATCAGAGGTCACTTTACATTACGTCATTAACGGGCAATGAAAGGTTGAAGTGAATGAAAAAGGGTCGAAACCTATCAACGATAACCATCGTCACGAGTTGTATCACTTGAAAGATTGCTAAAGCCCAATCGCTTTAAGATCTGTCTGCGATGCTCGGTCCCCGGATCCAACCACGATCTGTTCTCCATTCCTGTCGGAAGGGAAGATCGGATCGGTTCAAGGCTGAATTTCCACTTCGGCCAAGACTAAGACTTCATGAGAAGTGGGTAATGCGAAGGTCCGACGCAGAGAAGTGGATACTTTTCGGTATAAAAGCTGTATTTACCTGATTCTGTTTATAGAGAAGATGGAGCTGTAGTTAAAATTTCCCACAATTCTATGAATAAGCTGCATGTTTTCAATAAATTTTACATGACTATTCTTCTCAAAAGTTAGGCTCACTGCTCAGATATTATATACACGTTTATCTAATTATACACAGAAATTAATTTCGGTATTTCAGTCTCGAGGCTACCGCCTAAACAGTCTTGACGCATTAACAGATGCCTCTAATGGCTGGCCTAGACTGGTCGGTTGGTTGAAGATGGGAGGTCTCAGGGTTAGGGTCGTGTAATCGATGGTGAAGAGAGGGCGTGTTTTCGTTTCTAAGTTGGGTTTTGGGATTATCAGTAGACCTTGAAGTTGACTGTAAACGTGATTGTGAGAACATGCAACTACTAGTTCTTCATCATCCTGAGCTAAATAGGGTGAGCATAGTTCGTAGTCAAAAGGGTGTGTTTACCGTCCGAATCCCACCACAGCTTGGTGGTAATTACAGTTCATTCTTAATGCATAGGATGCACAGTATAGCAGAAATAATTCGATAAGATTAGGCCTCGAGCTTATCAGTAGACAACTTTAGCTACCCTAGATCTGCATACAGCCACGGGGTGGATGGGAATTTCCAGGCAAACTTATAGTTATGGGCAGACACGAATTTCAAGGTGTTGTTCTCAGTTGAAGCATTCTACTTTGAATGAAATGCAAAGCTTGCCATTAGATGAGTTAGCTCTGTTCATATTT